CACATAGTGCAAACTTGGGTATCTAGGCGGTAGGTATCAAAAGGCAAGGTATTGAAATCTCAGAAACCTAGTCTACACTGCCTCTGCCTCAAACTAAATTGCACAACTTCCACTATGTAAATAACATAGCTGAATTAGATGTATTTTGACCTAGTTATCAGTGGTATCTTCCATGCAGTAAGGTTGATTGCCAATGCTCTCCCACGGACTCCACCTACTTTTCTTGTCCTGGTGGAGTACCAGATTTGATAGGAGAGCCCTCAGACGTCAATTTATGGTGTCTAAACAGATGCAATAAATCAGACACTAGTGGATCTGTCGTGCAGCATCAGTCTAACATGTAGTGATGGCAAGTTCTGAGATGCATCTAGGAAGAGGCAGAAGTTCTGTCATAGAGGAAGTGGAAGAGTACAAAAGCAAAACTACCTCAATTGCCTTGCCTACCCCTTTATCTATCTATCTTTTTTTTTTTTGCACTATTTGTTTTGAAAGGTAAGTAGAGGCAGATATAATAGGGGAATGACTTGCACCTGATAACTAATAAGCAGAATCTATCAAATTTATGGTCTATTTTGGTCAAATCATAATCATAGGCTTCTAAAAACTGTGAATTTCATGACTTTAGCTATTTAAAAATATCACTGTGTAGGAGTTTTAGGAGTTGTGACCTAAAAAAGGAGTTGGGGGTCACAAAATTATTGTAGGGTGGGTTGTGCTATTGCTGGTAGTGTCACTGCTGTCAGAGTTGGACATGACAGACCTACCTCAACCAGCAGTACAGAAATAAGGATGGCATGGTATAGTATTTTGGGTCAGGACCTCATTTGAGAAACACTGCTTTTCCCAGTGAAATCTGTAATATATGGTAAAAGCACACACAAGACCAGTTTTCATGGTTTGTAATGCTTTTAATGGCAATGAAATTAGTAGGGCCCTACTAATGGGAATCACTGTTGTTTCCCCTTCCATTCCAATTCCAGTGATACCTGCTATCTTACTTTGCCTCTTTATCATGAATGATTACAATGCAGAACTAGAAAAAGCATTCAGTCCTGAGCCTTGTCTGAATATCAAAAAAATTCCCCATGGACCTAAGTTAATGAATTCTTTGACTGGTATAGCTTATATTGTTCAGAGAATTGGTAGTGCATTACCACTGTAGTTGTAACAGGAATCTGAAAAAATCACAGATGGCACATTGACTTTTGCTGGCATTGCTTATGTCAGGGATTTGCTAGTATAGCTATACTTTACAATATAGACTAACCCCAAGAGGTTTTTCCATATTTCTACTTAAAACTTCCATCATCTTTAGTTTGTACAAGTTGAACCTCTCTAGTCCAGCGCGCTCTGATCCAGCATCATCCGTGGTCTGGCATGATTTCAGTTAGCCAGAAGTCCACTTATCATGGGTGTGGCCAAGTTTCCTGCAGTTTTACAGCCACCAGTCCTGTTTCTCAGTGTCTTGTGTTATTTAGCTCTAATTTACCCCTAAATGTCTTTAAGAGCACAGTAAGGAGTGGAAGTGTTGGTAATACTGCTAGATAATGTTGAGTTCCTGTGATTCGGCACATTCTCTGGTTCGGCACCAGTCAGGTCCCAAGGGTGCCAGGCTAGAGAGGTTCAATCTGTCTATCATATCACAGTGTGCAGTGTCCCAGTTGGAAAAATTTGATTTATTTTTGTCCACCATTGTTCTTTAAATGTTTCCCTTTTCCCTGATCTGTAAATGAAGCACTTGTTACTTTCCATTCAATATCTGTTGAACAGGAGGTAAAGTTTAGAGAAGATAAATGTAAATTAAAAGTGAAAATGTACAACCTTACAAGGATGTTGTAGTTACTGTTAAAAAAGAAAAAAAAAAAAAGGATTAAGCTTCCAAATAATAGAGGGGATTGCAGTGTACACTTGAGATATCCAAACAACTTAGTCAGTACCGATCCCTGAGATGAATGGAGAGAGTAGATCCAGGTCTACACTATAAAGTATTTCAGGCAGAGCTGTATTGGTCAGGGGCAGCCTCTTCTCTTGTTTTTCCCACCAGTGTGCAGAATTAATGTTATGTGCATCAATATTAATTTTGTTCTGTTTATGATGCATCACCTCTATATTGGTGCACATGCAATTCATGTGGCGGGGGGGATAAGAGGGGCTGAGGAGTTAGGACTGTGGGAGGTGACTCAGGATTGGGACATAGGTTTAGAGGGTCTATGGAGGGGGCAGGCTCTGGAGTGGGGCTAGAGATGAGGGCTGTCCTGGGGCTGCAAAAGGGGAAGGGCACTCCCTCCAACTTTCTCTCTCGGCAGCAGTATCTGGGCTGGTAGGGGAGAAGCACCTGTCCTCTGTCCACAAAAGTTCCAGTCCAAGCTGGATTGGTGTTGGGGGAGGAACATCTCCACAACAGGTCCAGATCGGGGCTGAAATTGGGGTGCCTCTCTTCCAGTTGAGGCAGGTGTGGGTCAGGCCAGCTTGGGTTGGGTCCAGGGCTGGAGAAGAGGTATCTTTCCTTGCTGGGTGGCGCTTATCACGTTACTGTTCAGGTGCGCAGCTTAGAGGGAACTTAGGTCAGTTGTGTGATAGGTTGGCCTGAGATGAGAACTCATCTATGGTGGCAGATGCCTCTTGCATAGACACAGTTAAACCAGAAAAACTGCAGTTGTCTTAGATCAATTGTTCTCTAAGTTTAGCAATCTGAGAAACCCCATTTTGATTTAAAATGTTTTGGGGACCCCTGCCCTGCCCTCTTCACTGAGGCCCTTCCCTGTCTCTTCTCCAAGGCCTGTGTCCCCGACTTCCTCCATCACCCCTCCCCCTGTCACTTGCTCTCCCCCATTCTCACTCACTTTCACAGGGCTGGGAGTTGGGTTGTGTGTGGATGAGTGCACGGCGCAGGCTCCTTGAGGGAGTTTAAGTGTGGGAGTGGACTCTGGGCTGGGATAGGAGGATGGGGTGTAGGATGAAGGCTCTGGCTGGGGCTGTGTGCTCTCAGCACCAGGATTAGGGACGTGTGTTTCAGGAGAGGATTGGGAGTGCTGGTAGCATTTATCACACCTCCCAAGAAACAACCACTTGGTACCTGTGACCAGTGAGGTGCCTCACTCTGCCTCTGCAGCTCCCACTGGTCATGGTTCCCAGCCAAGCAGAGCTGTGGAGCCAGCATTTGGGCAGCAGCAGCACATGGTTCCTCCCTGACCACCCATGCATCTAGGGACTACAGGCACTTTGTGACTACTTCTGAGAGCCACATGGAGACCAGTGGTGCTGATTAAATATGGCTTTTCCCTTTTAGCCCTGATGTGCTGTTTTGCCTAATGTAACTACATGTCTTAATTCAGAAATGAGTAAATATCAAATGACCTTCCAAATAATGAGGCACACTTTTAAGGAATAATTCCATGCCCAAATGATACCTGGCTGAATAATTCATAACATACGGGGGAGAAGGCAGGAAGATTTGATTTCTTTAGATTGTATTGATTGCCATTTCTTTTGATCATTCTTTCACTCTGAGCTTGGAGAGTTTAGAGTCTCTCACTGCCTTGTTGTCCATTCATAGTTGGTACAAAAGGCTGGAGAAAGACAGATCTCACATTTTGGGACTTTTTTATGTTCTGTCTCTACAGGCCTTGATATGGAATTCACAGGTTTACATTCTTTCTTTCTTCAAGGCAAACAGCCCAGGTAAATCTTTCACCCCCAAATGTTGTTGTCATATGATGTAGTGACTTAAAATAGCGATAGAAGTTGTGGTGAGAAAAGTAAAATAGTACATAACAGGAGATTTTTTCTTCTTCTGATCATTTAATAGTCTCTTCGATTCACCTGCTGAGTGGTATCAGAAGGCCAGATGGAGTGTTCAGAAGTTCACAGTCAATCAGCTCGGTAACATTTTTTGTTCATTGTTGTCAGAAAAGATCAAATCCTACTTCTTCCTAAGTATTTACTATCATTTCACAAACTAATAACATTTGGCTGACACAGAGTAACTGGTATATTAAAGGACTGTGGGACTTTCTGGGAGGAATAAAGGCTTGCAGTTCTGTTTTTGCTTGTCTGTTATATTTGCACTGGCTGCCCTCCAGAATAAGTTCCTTTTTATTATTGGAGTAATGTATACATGATGGCTGTGTCTAGACTGCATCCCTTTTCCATAAAAGGGATGCAAATTAGACACATCGCAAATGCAAATGAAGCGGGGATTTAAACCCCCCCCGCTTCATTTGCATAAACATGGCTGCCTCTTTTTTCCGGCTCGGGGCTTTGCCAGAAAAAAGCGCCAGTCTAGACGGGGATCTTTCGGAAATTAAAGCCTTTTCCGAAAGATGGCATAAAGCCATGTTTATGCAAATGTAGCAGGGGGATTTAAATCCCCGCTTCATTTGCAATTGCCTTTTATGGAAAAGGGATACAGTCTAGACACAGCCCTTAAGTAATTTAAAGTCAGGCTGGCTAGGCAAAAGTTTTCAGTCTACTTTATCTTGCTGCTAAATTATTTTTTTAAAAGTGTTATGATGTATGTCATCTGTAAAGAAAAAAAATGTAATAGAAGTCAACCTTTCAAGGTTCTGTTCCACACTGTCATTGACTTGCTGTGTGACTATAAGCATGAAATATAACCTTTCTGTGCCTTCAAATTCTCACCTGTGAAATAGAGGTGAGACCTAACTCACATGGGATTTGTGGGGGGTTAATGTTAATAAATCACTCAGATTCTCAAATGGAAGAGATACTAGAAAACATTGTTTTCTATGAGGTTTCACAATGAAATACATTGTTTTACCAAGTTTCATGTTGTCCTTTGGTATTTTAGAGAGATATTTTAGGGGCTTTTCATGAGGGCTGAGGTGTACTGGCTTTCATTTTGGGGAGATGGAAACAAGATCATATCCACTTTGATGATGTCTCTAAGTAAAGACTATCTAGATTATGAAAGCATCTGATTTCTGGACTGTGGGGTGTTTTGGACAATGTAGGGATACAAAGGAAGTATTTGAACCTTGCTTGCTGAAGTCCCTGCTCGTTGAAGATGTAGAGTTTTGTTTTGGACAGAGCTTGATTTTTGTTCTCTTCCATTTACACATCTGTGTATGGTGGCCCAGTTAAAGCATGGTTTCATCTTGTAGTATAGATATCTCTGTCTCTCAGGTATGTTAAAGGTGACCTGCAAGAGGGGAAATAACGCTTGAGCCTTATTTCTTTTGACACAAAGAAAGCTTGGTGTTTTTTTTTCTTGCTCTCTTTTTAATGTTTCTCTACTTCCTTTTTATATTAGAAATTCAGTACTTGTCTAAATTACTAGATTATTAGATCATTTATTGTGGTCTGAGGATAATAGTGTAATGTGTAATGAGGTCCCCAACAATTGTAGAGTAGAAAGGCCTGTAAACCTACAGCACAGTTTGTAGCTTTCAGTGATTTTCCTTTTCTCTTCCATTGCTCAACCTCATTTCAGTATGGACTGCTTCTTATTTGAAGTTAACTTGTCTTTCCATTGAGCCCTAAAATCTTATTTCTGTTTAACTATATGGGAACCCATAGTCATGCCATCCCTTCGTACCTGGCAGTGTTAAAAAGGGATCAGTCAAATTCTAGTGCAGCAGATTTGGTACATGACTAAAATGACATGTGGAACTCGTACATCCTCTAATTTTCACGCTACCATTAAACAGGAGGCCTAGGATTAACACCCAATTCTCAATACTAAGACCTCTGTTTGTATTTGTTTCTTTCAGGGTTGTCTATATTTTCAAATGAAAGCTCCAACAAGTAAGTAAAAATAAAGTATTCTTTCTAAATAAGCTCTTAGCTGCCTGCTATGACAGAGATCATGCCGCTGAGATTCTATACTAGTGGTTCTGAGGCTCCTTAGTGCAGTTTTTCCTTGTGATTCTGTTTTAGATATCTTTATTTTCCCTTATAGGTATGTTGCACACTCCTATAACTTCTTCCTCTTTCCCACAACATTTGGAATCATGGACTCTGAATTCTCTTTCCAGGCATCTAGCATTAAGTTCCTGACGCATTATGGTTTTGACTATAATAAGGTAGGTTTTCTGTGGTAAGTGACCAGAGTAGAGGAGGCTCCCCAAAGTCTTCATTCCTTGAATAAGCAGCTTCTTGCTGTTTTTTCAATACTATGGCTGTTTTGAATACTTGGGTTGGGTTTTGGGTGTCAGAGCAATACAGGGCTTTGGACACTGAGCTATTCTGTGATCCATGGGGAAGTAACTATGTCTTTGGTAGTATGTGGAGAGGCTCCCTCTTAAGTGTAAACACCTTAACAGTGGCCACTAAACTGAAGCCCTAACTAACTCTGAAGCCCTAACTAACAATGCTTCACATTGTTGCAGTTGGCCACAGTGTACCTCCTTACTGCTCTGACACACCAACTTTAGTGGCCACAGGGCACCTTTTTGTACTTCCCCTCTCCTCATTAGCAAAGAGGTAAATGCCTCTCTTTACTGGCATCCCAGCAATGCCTTTGAATAAATGAAGCCCATGATAATAGGTCATATGCTTCCTGTCCTTCCTACTGTCCTATCTCTCACCCAGTCTGCAGACCGCACTGTCCAGTTTGGGTCAGCGTGATTGGGTGAATATCTCCAGGCTACATATACTGAAGTAGAGTTTTGGGGTCTATCAAATGTCATTTCATTGGCTAGTAGATGTGGTCCAGCCTACACAGTTTCACAGAAGATGTAAGGTTCCATGTAGGATTGAAAGCCTGGGTGCTCAAATGAAAAAATTGGTACTGAATTTGTCATCTTCTGATAATCTCAAAGAAACTTGAACTCTTAGCTAAATAAAACTTTACTTGTCTATAATGTTCCATCATCTCCAAAGTGGAAAATAGTGCCATAAGTATACTGTAGTGCTATCCAACAGTCATGGCAGGAAGTGTAGAAAAGAGTTCCCAGCTGAAACGGCAGGAGACTTTAATTAAATTGAATGTAATTACTGAGCTGGAATTTGTTCTAAAAACCTGGGTTAGAATACTGACACTGAGTACTTTCTCTATCAGCTCTTAAATGATCATAAATAGTCAGGACTTCAATTTTATCTTTCATGCATAATCTTCTATATTTCAGTCTCTCCCCACCCTTTTACTCCTTACCTGTGAACCCTTTTGAATCATAAAAATAAAATATTTCCCATCCTTTGCGTATGCATACCTCTTGGATAAGTGGTGAATTGTGGACTTTCTTAGAAAATGTTTTGAGAAAAGAATGAGGGAAAGAAATCATGTTAGAAATGACATGATTTCACCAGTAAATACCGATTTTGAGAGTCCCTATCCTGATACTATTTTTATAATTTAGCACCAGACAATCCTATAATTAAATAACCCCTTTTCTCCCACCATTCAGTTTCTGAAAGATGGAATTCCATATATGAATGAAGTACAGGAGAAGAAACTTCAGCAAGGTCTCTTAGCTGGAAACTGGAAAGTCCGCAGGTAAAGCTCTTCCAAAGCCATTTGCTCCTCTAATGACTTCTATTAGTATTTCACCTTCACTTTTCACTCAATTTACATTTTGTAAGAATACTGAAACTGAGAGAATGTCTCTCAAAATAGAGAGCCCAGTGACGGGCCACAGGGTACTGCTGTCTGTTGCTCCACAGAATGACTACAGCATAAGGGAAGCGGGGGAGAGGGGAACTCCTCTGTAAAGAGGAGTCTTGCTTTGCACTCCTTTTGCAGCTTCCTCACTTTTTCTTTCTGATCACGTTTCAGCACTTTGGACAAGGATAAAGTGAAAAAGGTGATTGATGAGGTGACTCGCTGGGTGCCATCAGCAGAGGAGGGAGGCTCTATGGTTCTGCATGATACGAGTGGTATGAAATAGGATTCCTTCCTCATTTGTTGTTTCTCAATGGCTGCAGCACCTCTTCTGAATATGTAGGGATTGCTGCTTTTTCAGCCTGCTTACATAGCTCCTTGTATACTAACACTCTTGCTTTTTCACTTAAAAAAACCATGCCCAGCCCACCATTTCTGCTGCCAGACCTTTTGGCTCCTGTCATGTTTTCATCTCTGTGCCCTGTTGCTCCTTTTTTGTCATTGTGATTAGCCCTATAAGAGAAGGTGTGTTTGGTTTTTTCCCCCTGAGGTTGTTTGGTTTCAGTGGATGTTTTTGCAGTTGTGGTAGATTTTATAGGGCTGGGAGTAGTTAAGTCTGACAGCTTTACTCATTCTGTGCTCTTCTGGCTCAGTTTTGTACTACTTGCATGGAAAAGTATTGAGAGAGATATTGAGGTATTTTTAAAAATCATTTGAAATGGGGATGACTCAGATTGTCGACTCTCTTTTCTGGATTGGCATATGCCCTACATTTTTCATTTTTAGCTTTGTTTCATACTATTTTATTCTTTAATTAAAGCACTTATTCTATAAACCAAACTCCTCACCTTTAAGTCCTTCTCTCTGTTTCTGATCTCAGGTTTCCAGCAATTTGAGGTTCAATTGATTCTGAGGCAGGCACTTCCAAATGTTTGGACAGAGCCCTTTGGAGACCAGAAGGTAAACTGGAAATGAAGTTCCGTGGAGGGTAGGACTTCTGTGTAGATTTGTGTGTGCCTGTCCTTCCTGCTGGGTCTCTAAAATCTTGGTTGTGCTTTAATGGAAAGGTTCCTGGAAGAGGAGAGAGCTTGCAAAGGAACCATGTGAAGGGACCAAACCAAGTTCCCCTTTCTGGGATCACATGGTTTGGGAAGCTTTGGCCTCTGTTTCTCTCACTCAAAAGTTGTCTCTTCTAGTAGGAGTGTTCTTAAGCAAAGTCTGAAATGACTCTTAAAATTTCCCCAGGCTTCTCCACTCCTCCCTCATGTACAGGTTGAACCTCTCTAGTCCAGGACCCTGGGGACCTGAGTGGTGCCAAACCAGAGATTTGCCAGACCACAGGAGGTCAATATTGTCTAGCAGCATTACCGACACTTCTGCTTGCTGGGCTCTTAGAAGACATTTAGGGTTAAATTAGAGCTAAATAAAAGCACAGAACACTGAGAGCCAGCACTGGTGTCTGTCAACAAATGTTATGGGACTGTGGGAAACTTGGCCATACCCATGAAAAGTGGACATCCAGCTAATTAAAATCATGCCGGACCACGGACATTGCCAGACCAGAGAGTGCTGGTCTAGGGAGGTTCAATTTGTATGCACAAAAGCACACATTAGGTCTTCATTGTTAAACTGCCCCTTATGGTTGCCTTAGAGACATTCATCCAGTCTGTTGCAGTAATGCTACACAGCCTTTCACAGCTAGTTCATCAGTTTGAATTTGGTGCACACTTTGTTGAATAAAAATGTTGGCCCTTGGTCAGCCTGTTCAAGTGGTGTCTGTCCAGATGCCAGGGAGAAGCTTAGAAATATCACAGAAATCACTATGCAACTAGCACCCTTATTATTCTCTGACAGAGGCTATACATGAGAGGAATTTACTGGGCTCCATTTCACCCCTAACTGCGGGCTCTGAGTCGTCATAGCTACGCTTTGGTGTGAGGAAACCTGCACCACTGTTTTCCTGCAATACCTGTTTTATGAATAGAGGGCTTCTCATTTCATCATGGTCAATTGAATACATTTTACTAGCACTAAAATCACTTACATTCCATACCTACTGTCGCACATCCTGAAACAGACCTCCTGTTTTATGTCCACCACCTGTCCTTCTAACCAAGGAGGCCTGGAAGTAACTCCCTTCAGTATTAGTTTCGCTTATCAACTGGATACTGATCGCCCTTCAGTGATGACAGTCTTCATGTTCTGTACTGAAGGGCTGTCATCTCTACTGTCTGATTTTCATCATTAACACCTGGTTACCACACAAACTGCTTGTGTTGGTTTAGTGCAGTGATTCCCAACTGCCAGGCCGTGAACCTCTGGCTGCTGGGCTGCAGCGACTCTGGGGGCCAGGGCTGGGATACACTGCCCAGTACCTTCCCTCTCGCCGTGGCTGTTGGGAATGGCATGTCCTGCCCCACCTCTCAGCCAGCCAGCACCGGGAAGGGGCGGGGTCTCTTCCTGGACATGGAAAAGCAGTTTGTTGCACAACAGGAGGGTTGCATGGAGCCTGGTATGGCAGCTGCGACCCGGGCAGCAGCACTCAGCTGGCAGCTGGGAAACAGCATAGGGCTAGGTGAGGGGGAGCGGGGCAAGTTCTGGGGGGCTCTGGGGATAGAGGGCTTTAAGAAGTGGGGGGATGACACTGGGAGGCACTGGGGCATCTGAGGTGGGGAGCTGGCCCTGGGGGTGTCTGGGGGCTAGGCTAGTAGTGGAGATCTATAAGGGCAGGGCTGGCATTGGGGGGCTCTGGGGATGGGGCTAATATTGGGAACTGGGGGGAGTTTGGAGGGTTGGGTGCAGTGGGGCGTCTGGTGGTGGGGGGCTTTAAGGGGCAGTGGTTAGCACTGAGGTGTTTGGGATGGGGGATTGGCAATGGGGGGCTCTGAGGGTGTGAGTCTGGCACTGGGGGGTTAGTGCAGGGGACTCTGGAGTCTGTGGCTGGTGATGGGGGGTAGTGGAGGGGTAGGGGGCTCTAGGAGTTAGGGCTGGCACTGGGGGGTCTCTGGGGCTAGGGCTTTTGGTGGACTGGTAACATTTTATTTGTATGTTCATTATGCAAATCATGAATATGCAAATAAAATATTACGGGTCCGCCACAAGTTTGTGAATGGGTTTGCCTGTCCCCAGTATAAAAAAGGTTGGGAACCACTGATTTAGTGTGTGCCAGGTTGTAACTTTTTTTTCTTGTAGGTGATGGTGAAAAAGATGAGTCCACGGCATCGTTGGTGTCTGGAGAACTCTTCTTATGATTGTTGCCGAAAGGAGCTCATTCTTCTCTCTGCCCAGGGTTTCACCAGTCTCTTCCATACCCTTGTGGAAGCCAAGAAGGTGACACTATCCCTGTTCTCACCTTTGGAAGTCTTGGATTGTTACCAGAGTAGCACAGTATGCAAGTATGGAGTATGCAAGATGTTCTGTATGAAGCTGAGTGAATATATTCAAAGTAGTGAGAGCAGATTTGTTAACCCCTTCCCCACTATCAGTAAAACAAGTGTTAGTGTTTAAAGTGGTAATTTAGGTTAGAAAAAGTGGCAATTTAAACATAGCGGATCTGTTAAGTAAGCAGGTGGGGTTTAAGTGTATTTTGTTAAAACTGTTTTACTTTATTGATCCAAAAACCAGACTTTTCTACATTGCATTCCTAGTACCCTGCAAAGCAAGCATGCCTGCAAGAGAGTGATCCAGGCCCTGTTCTGACTCCAATATCTCAAACAATTTTTTTTTAAATTCCAGAAATCTGTCACATTTCAAAACATAAGCCACTACCTGGAAGTTGGTCAGAAACATTTCTTTGGGTAGATTATTTCACTTTGACATAATTGTCCATTTGGAAATTTCTCTAAAACATCTAGTGATGGTCACTGTTGGAGCCAGCACAATGGGCCAGTGGCCTCATCAAGTTTGGAAATTCCTTGTTCCTAGCAGAATTATTGAATAAGATCCAATTTCAGAAACTTTATCCTTGGATCCATGCTGATACTGTTGTTTTATGTCTCTCCCCATAGCCACTGGTGGGACACAACATGCTTATGGATCTTCTGCATCTTCATGACAAGTTTTACAAGCCCCTCCCAGGTAGCAAAATCTTTAGCAGCATTCAAACACTGGTGCACACCTCCCCACGGCAAGTTTTTGAATGGTTGGACAGAAATCCAGCACAAATGCTCAGTAATCCTCATTCACTCTACACAGTGCGGTGTGATGCTAGATAACTGCACTAACTCACTCACTTCTAGGGCAGGACTTGGTCCCTCTGGAACACTCCCGGTGGGGTTCTCCCATGGGGCAAAAGACCAGACAGATACTCTGTCATGATTATGAGGATTGCCCAGCAGCCTGGGGATTAAGGGGTTAACTACATCTAGCCAGGTGGAGTGACCAGTAGGAATGTAGGTGGGACTTTCAAACTGGGACAAAGGAATTTGGTTTTTTTTCCTTTCTCCCTTTTGTCTCTCTGGGTGAGCTCTCTACAGCTACAGAGAGGGACAAGCATGTCTGTCTCTCTCTCTCAAAGACACTATTCTTCATTTTCTGTAAGTAGGGTAAAGTTTAGGTAGTTTTGTTAGGCTTTATTGTTTTAAGGATTGGGTATGGGATCTGAGATCTGGCACTGTTTAAAAGATGTTTTGGCTTTTCTTTGTAACTAAGTTCTAGGCCCATGGAGTTCTCCATGAGTATATTTTGTTACCTTCCTATCTAGTCATTATACTTGCAACAGGAGTATTGTTGTAATAATAAAAGTTCTTTCTTTTCTTTTTATTAACCTGGAAGTGGTTAATTGTGTGCCCTGATTCTTATTTTAGGGGTGAGATTTCCCAAATGATCTTTCCCCTGATTTCTTTATCAACATTTGGGTGGTGGCAGCGGAAGTTTTATTCCCAAGATCTAGGTTTTTAAGATTTTGGGGGAAGTTTTATACCAAAGCCTGGTAGATAAGGCTTTGGAGTACACTTGCTGGCCCCCACTTCTGCATTTATCATGCCAGAGTGGGGAAGGAGCCATGACTGTTTACTGCAGAGAGTGTCGAGTTTCCTTTCCCTTAGTTCTGTAATATTTTTTGAATGTTTGCTTTCTTCCAGAAAGCTATGAGGAGTTTAAAAAGAACATTCACAGCCTGTTTCCTGTCCTCATAGACACCAAGAATGTCACAAAATCCATCTGGAAGGTAAGAGGAACATTTGTCTTGGGAAGTAAAACTTGCCTCACACCTAGATGGGAAGAAGGTTCTGATCACTCCCCAGTTATGGAGCAGGGATTAGATTTAAACATTGCTTGAGGCTCACTGCCTTAGTGCTTTTTATGTCATGCTCCCCTTACTCCTAATGTAATTTGTCTGCACCGAAGCATGGAACTTCACCTGAGTCATGGTCAGAAACCGGGAGTGGGAGCTGGAATCTGGAGCCTCAGCTGGAGGTAGGAGTGGAGCAAGAGTGCAGCTGGGGACAGAGCAGGGCTGGATGGTGCTCCATCTCTCTGCCCCGCCTCCCCGGGTGAGGAGGAGGCTGGCCTAAGATTCACTGCACTCCTTCCCCAAACATTCCTCAGTGGTGCGCACCCCACAAGTTGAGGACCCTCTGCAGTAAGGTGTCTTGCTTTCCTGATTGAGGGACTCAGGATAATTTCTAATTTCTTCATTACCACCTTTACATTTTCTTTCCTATTGAGCTGTTACTACTACTTCTGCTGAAAAGGTGGGCCAGCAGCCTTTTCCTTTCTGTAGTGGTGAGAGTGCTGGTACCTGTGCTAAGAATGTTAAGAAGCAGGTATTTCACTAATCGTATAGTCGATAGAATTCTTACTGACTACTCGATTAGTCAATAGAGGAAGGCACTTAGTTCCGACTCGCTATCTCTATTGCTATCAGGCGGGAGCTATCTCCACTGCTGCTATGTAGTTTAAATGTAGCAAGAGCTGGGTGGGAAGGTAGCCTGAGCCACTGTGAACAGGGGCTGGTGCCAGAGTAGCCTCTGCCTGTGGTGAGCCTGAGCCCTCTGCAGGCAGAGGCTGCTTCATGGCAGCCTCCCCTGCTCCCCTGAGATGTTGCCTCTGATAGAAGTAGCAGCGAGTTGGGGGGCAGGTGGCACCACAGAGTTGGTGCTGGGGGGAACCAGCTTTTAAGCTGCTGGCTCCCCCAGGATCGGCTCCTGCTCCTCCTCCCCTCGCCCCCACTTCCTCTGATGCAGAGGATAGAGGACTGAAGAGTGTGAGGTATCTATTAGTACTGTTTTAAGGAATTGCTTCAAAACTCCATTATCATTTGGAGCTTAGGATGGCTTGCATTCAGGGACTGATGTTGCAGCATTGAGTATCACAACATCATAACTTACAGATTAAGTTAACATTGTGAAGAGTTCTACGGTACTTTGCTGCTTCTGAAGAAATTCTGTGGGGTGCCACAGGACATGATTCATGCCCACTGAAGAGCACTACTGGAACGACAATGTGGATAGGAAGCATACTCAGTACTTTTTAGATAGTCTGGCTGCTTTGGTTTGATTTCTGAGTCCACAGTTTATTTCCTCCAAAACACCACACCACATCAGAAATATCTTGCCTTGGTTTCTTACAGGAATTTCCATTTCCTCGGGCATGTAGCCTCCTAGAAGTTTATGAAATCCTGTGCAGGTGAGCACTGACTTCTGTGAATTTGCACACTACCAGCTGATCCATGAATCATCTTGGGAAGAGAATTTTAAACATCTGTTGTACATTATGCCTGTGTTTTTCTGCTGTAGTGTGGACTAAAATTGTTAAACAAGTTTCCCTCCTTTCTAACCTGGCTTTAACATCAGAGGAAGAAGTTTTATCTCTAGACCTTATAAGTTAATTGTAAGTCAGTTTAAAATTCTTCCCCTTGAATTACTCAGCCATTATGAAATGAGGATGGAAACTGGCTTACAGTCTGATATAGAAACATATATGGCAACCTAAGGCCATGTCTATACTAAATGGAGGATCAATGCTGCAAAGGTTGATCTTCTGGTGTTTGATTTAGTGGGTCTAGTAAGGACCCGCTAAATCGAACACTGAGAGTTCTCCTGTCAACTCCCGTTCTCCTCAGAGTCACTTGGAGTAAAGGAAGTCCATTGGAGAGTTTTCCCCTCATTCTCCCACTGTGGAAATGCTGTAGAAATTTGGCTTAAGCTAAGTTGACTCCAGCTATGTTATTTACATAGCTGGAGTTGCCTATCTTAACCAATCTTCCGGTTTAGTATAAACCTGCCCTAAGCTGTATGCTGAACTCTAGAGGATAGCATTGCTTAGAGGATTGATAATGGGCCATGGAGCTTTTTACCATTATTTGCCTGATCTTGAATTTGGGCTAAGTCTGAGAGCAGCAGAAACTTAATACTATCTCCCTGTTGCACAGGATCTTAAGTGGAATGAGTTTGCCAGCCTGGTTCTTTGTGGGCAGGTATCCATGTTACAAATGACGTTCTTGTTAGCAGAGCGGGTAGAGTGTAAGGTCCGGACACTATAACACTCCTAATCTATAGATGTGTTCCCTCCATAGACAAAATAGACAAAATACTGTGCTTAGTGATGTGATATATATATATATATACTGGGCTTGACAAACAGCGGTGAAAACTGCTCGCCAGCCCCGTACTGCGCATGCGCACGCCGTGAATGAATGGGGCACGCGGCTGAAATCTACTCACCATGGGCGAGTAGATTGTATTGTTTGTCGAGCCCTGTATATGTCTGTGTGGGTGTATATATGTATAATATTGGTTCGTCTCTAAGGTGCCACAGGGCTACTTGTTAAAGCAGAGGTGGGCGAACTACATCTGGTGGGCTGGATGTGGTACACAGGCCTTTTTCATCCAGCCCTTGAGCTTCCTCCAGGGAGTGGGATCAGGGGTTTACCTGACTCCTGCTGCTCCAGATGAGGCATGAGGTTGGGAGCTTGCATGTTTCCTATTGCCGCTCCCTGGCTGGGACACCATGTGGGGTTGTTAAAGCTGGTGGTAGAGCAGTGGCACCCATTTTTCTAGAGCTCCCCAATTGACTGGGGCCCCTGGGCATGCCCCTTTGGCCCACTGGTTAATCTGCCACTGAGAGGAAGTTGGGCCAATATACAATTGGTCCACCGTACAACTTATCTACTTCGATGTGGCCCTCAGACCAAAAAAGTTGTCCCACTTCGGTGTTAAAGGCAGTGTGTTTGGCTTGGCATAGTGGCTGCTGTTTGTTGTTTTAAATATATAGTTCCCTATAGATTAGGAGAATTCTGCTGCACAAACTCATGTTTTCCTCCTGGCATATTCAGATGTTAAAGGATCTTTTTCACCGCTGGAATGGGAATCTCTGTACTGTTTTCTGGTGTTTCCTCTCCATGTAACAGTCTTTACCAAACTTCAGTTACAGTATTGGGGGCTTGGATTGAAGCAGGGAACTTTGAACTAGCCTGCTTTTCGCTCTCTTTGGAAGTCTGTCTGTTGGCAGGCCTGCTGACGGAGGTGCAAAGAGGGCAATTAAAGAGCTCGGGTCTCCTAGCAGCAGAAGCTGAAGCCCTGGGCCCTTTAAAATGGCTGCAGAAGCATTGATCTGAGGGCTGGTGGGTTGGTGGGGGGGATGAGGGATGCTGTGCTATCTAGGTGGAGGGGGGGGCTGGCTATCCCAGCCCCCTGCCATTTCCACCGGAAGTCCTGCTCCTTCTGAGAGTGCAGAGCCACCCTACCTCTCCCCCCCAGCCCCGGAGCTCAGCTATCCTGTCTGCTCCCAGTCTGATGGAGTAGTGTGTGGAGTTAGGCATTCACACAGCCACATGGGCAGGAAAAAGAACGAACCTTGAAAGTCTGAAGCAGTAGTAGTTAAGATATCTCTTCTGATTTTATTGTAATCTTGGGTCATGGAAATAATATATACATTAGGACAGTGGTCCCCAACCTTTTGGGGCTGCCAGGCGCCCGGGGGCGGGGCCACTCACACGCCGGGCACCTGGGGGTGGGGCTGCACATATGCTTGGTGGTAGGACTGCACACGCGCCTGGGGGCGGGGCCACCCATACGCTGCGTGCCCAGTGCCGGTGCCTCCAATGCACTACACACTCGGGGCCGGCGCCGCTCCTGTGCCGCACGCCCAGGAGCCAGCATCACCCACACGCTGCGTACCTGGGGTCGGCGCCGCTCCTGCACTGCGCGCCCGGGGCTGGCGCTGCCCCTCTGTCGCGTACCTGGGGCCAGCGCCATGCCTGTGACTTGCACCCATGGGCTGGCACCGCCCATACGCCGCGTGCTCGGGGCCGGCACAGCCCTTGCACCATACACCCAGGGGCGGGGCCACCCATACACTGCGCACCCAGGGGCTGGCACCGCCCATACGCCGCGTGCTCGGGGCCGGCACAGCCCTTGCACCATACACCCAGGGGCGGGGCCACCCATACACTGCGCACCCAGGGGCCAGCACCACCAATGCACCACATGCCCAGGGGTGGGGCTGGCCCCGATGACTCGGCGGGCGCACAGAAATGGCCTGGCGGGTGCCATGGCGCCTGCGGGCACCGCATTGGGGACCACTGCATTATGAGATTCGGGAGATGTGCAGAAAGCCTTCAGGATACTTTAGTCCAGAAGAGGCAGCGACAACCACGAATCTCTTTTAGGTGCATTGTGCAAGATAGAAGGCTTTTATATTTGTGAATTCCATATTCATTGTTTCCATGCCACAAACTTGTCTGGCTCTTGATCTCTGTGCGTGGATTTATGCAGACATAAAGTGGCACTTCTAGACTAGTCCCTGTGCCCCACCATTCATTTCCCCCAAATATCAATCAAGAATTGAAACCTCTGGGGTAAGTTTTCAAGGTAGCGTGCAAGGATTTGAGCCATGTGACTTTGTTGGTGGTAAAAAAATAAAGAGTTAAAATTGTTGCTTGTACTACTTTGGTAATATATGATTTTATCATTGGATCACAGAGAAACTTCTTTTAAGAAATGTCTTTGGCAATTGTGTTAAAAATGGAACGCCATCGAGATTACCCTAACAGGGCAGGAGCGTGTTGCTGAAATTTCCAGTTCAACGCCCCTCCTTAGGCAGAAGGGAAGAACGAAAATTTACACTTCACATTTTCTCCACTAGTGACCTTAATCCCACCAACTCCACGTGCCCAGTGATTGCCCATGCAAGTGACAGTTCGAAATATGGTAGGTTCATCAAATTTTCATTGCTATATTAAGAGGTTTTTTTTGTTATATTCGATGGGAATCCAAATGTGTAAAAGAAATGAAACTGTATGTGGCATAAAGAACATGTGCAGGAGTACCGTCCATTCACACCCCTTAATTCCAGTCCATTCCTTTTATAAATGCAAGTTTGTTCTAATAAACCTTTTAAAAGTGATGTCATTTTTTCTTCAGCCACTGGCCTGTCGCCTCCTTAGTAGCGTCATTTTGAAAGCTCCAGAGAAGCAGCAGACTGCAGGATTAAGAGATTCTGATATGGGAGTTAGAAATAGTAGGAAATGTGAAGATGAAAGAGGAAACCTGTGGATAACTTGATCCTTAGAGAGGGGAGGATTATTTTGACTCTCAGTAGTTTGCGCAATGTTCTAAAGATGCTTTAATTTATTTTCCATTTTTGGACTCTTTTAGCTGACAAGAAATCTCCTCATGAGGCAGCATATGATGCATTTCTCTGTGGATCAGGTAAAACCTGACATTTCTTAAAGGTTTAACTGTTAGAATTCAGGAATTGCTGTCCTTCCACTGTAGCCATTCTCACTGAACAGTTGTAAAACAGGCACTTGTTACATATATACACACTAGAAGATTTACCTGGTGTTGCTCAGGTCCTTAACTCTCTCTTTTTTTTTTAAATGTACATACTTAATTTAAATCATTTATCTGGGGTGGGGCTGGGGATGAAAGGTTCAGTATGCAGGCTGCCCTAGTGCCCTGGGGAGAGAGGGAGTCCTCTCTCTACCACAGCAGCTTGGGGCCAGGTGAGAAGAGCCTGTCCATGGGGGAACAGCCAGCAATGATCCCGCATATGAATCAGGGTGGGAAGGAGAGCTTCAGCCACCACTCCGCTTAAAGGGTTCCTGGCGGGTGGGAGACTCAGGGTTGTGACAGTCCTAGCTGCAGGTGTGGGTGGGGGAGTGGGGTATGCCTGCAGACAGTTGTTTCACCTACCTGGTGATTGTCTCTTTTCGGTATGGTTTTCTGAAAAGCAATCCCCATTCCAGGCACATCCCAATATCCTGGCACAACCAAATAGTGACCTTGTTTTAAATGATAAGAGGAAGCTGCATACCAAATTTGATGGTCCTAGCTCTTACCGTTTAAGAAGGGTTCTTGAACGGCCCACCAGATAGTATTGCTCTTCCTCTCTAGTTAGTTTTTGTGTGCTCCATTTCTTTGCAACTGAACATTTATTTAGCTTTTGCTTCTGCACTCTGTTTGTAATGTCATCTTTTCATTATTCCTCCTTTTAGTTCTTTTGAAAATAGCCCACTTGCTCGTAGGCAGAATGCCATGGTGAGTGGTACTTATGAATGTCTTTGCCTTGCGATTTACCTTGCATTTACATTCACAGCTCTTTTAGAAAACAGCTGTCAGTTTGTGATTTTCTGTTCAACAACTTTGTCCAGTTTTTGAATAAAATATCAGTCAAAATGCCACTGCTCCAAGTAATTTGCTTGTTATTTTATAAACCTGCAGGTTAGAGGTTTTTATTTCAAGGCTGAAACTTTATTTAAAAAATAATTTTGTGGTGTTTGATAATCTGGGAGGCTTGTAATGAAATTGTGCATACTTTTTTCCTTTTGGTCATGATTTCAATCCCTCCCAGGCTGGTGGTCAGTGGTCTTACCATCTGACAGCTGGGGTGAAATGAACTGATGACTTCAGTCAAGTTTCTAGTGAATGTGTGTCCCACTCCTTCCCACTGTTGAGTGCACTTGTTGGCTCATGTTGAGAATAACAAGGGTTAAATGGGTGTTGAATCAGCGCTATCCTTCCACCAGTACATGTGGTCTTCCCCAATGTTCCCCAATTAAGTACATAGGCAGGGTAGTCTCAGGGAAGCTTGAGCTGCCTTGTATGTGTGCTCTGTGTTCAGTACCCAGAGGAGTTCATATTGTAATGCTGTGAATGTATGTTATTTTATCAACATTGTGTTTACACACTAAATAAATAAATCCTCCATACTTCCCTGCTCCTGTTCCTTTATAGGTCAGCTGTAGCCATAAATTCTCTAAAGCTATGGTACTATTGTTTGATTTCCCTATAGTCTAGATAACTGAAAACAATTATTTTGCTCTATTTTCAATCATAGTGACACTCTGGAGACTAGTTCCTCTTTCTCTCAGTATCTAAGTGTATTAACCAAGTACTTGAACCAGGTGAATCTGATCCGAGCTGGCTGCTCAAAAATTGTGAGTTTTTAAAGTGCATCATGTTTACTCCCATTGTATCTGAATCAGCAAATGCACAAGCTAGAAGGCTACCTGCTCACTTACATGAGTGAAAGGAAAGGCCAGCTGGTGCTTGGAGTTGCTTCTCAGTGTCACTCCAAAGAGCATTTCAAAAAATCAAATGTGCTGAATTTTTACATCATTATTTATGTTCATTTTGTCATTGGTTACAGCCTTATGTTGACTTTAGCAGTGATGTAGATAAGGTGCATTACTTCAGGAAATAAAAAACCTACCCTTTCTGAGCGACACAACTTAATGTCAACTTAATATGGTGTCTGCTTTCCCGTCAACATTGCTTCTGCCTCTCATTGAGGTAAATTAATTACATTGAAGGCAAAGTGCTCTCCTATCGACTTACTGCCTCTTCACCAGATCTGCCAAATTGACCCCTCTGTATTGACCAAGGCAGCAATGATTTACACCATAATGAAGACAAGTCCATAGTCTTTTAATTATGTCTAAGATGCCTCTTTCCCCCATTTCAGCACTTGTAATGAGATGGAAATACAGGGGCATTAAAAGGTACTCATCTGTATTAAAGTCTTCCATTTCTAGACTTCTGATCCCTACAGTAGGATAGAGGATAGATTGTTGCCTTGGATTTTTATTTTCACATGCATTTTGGTGACTTAAGTTATGGGCACCTGTGGACATGAACCATGAGAGCAAAGATGAAAACATACTTACTTGTATTATACAATTGGATACAGGCAGTCCCCGAGTTACGCGGATCCGACTTATGTCAGATCCGCAGTTATGAACGGGGCCCGTCTCCCTGGTCTCCAGCAGACCAGGGAGAGGAAGCAAAGCAGCGGAGCACGCAGGCAGCGGACAGCCCAGACGCGTCTGGGCTGTCCGCTGCC